ACCCCACAAGGCCTAGTTATCTGCATTTGCTTCTTAGAGCAGCAGTAAGTGGGGTGGACCCAGAGCAGGGGGCCTGTACTGTTCTCTCAGCTCCTGCCTGAAGCGTGGTACCCAGTGCTGCACACCCTCCTGGCCCAGGGATGTCTGTCATGGTCCGGTGTTCACAGGAGCCATCCCAGCACCTGTGGATGTTTGTTATTTGGCACCTGTGGGTGTACACACCCCCCATCCTGAGTGCCATATTCAGGAATTTTGGTGATGGTAGTAGCAGTTTTGCTAATACCAATCGAACAGGGGCATTCCTGTTTGAATACCATGTGGCCCAGGACTCGTAGTTTATCTGTTTTTATAAATAGTTTTATTGAAACATACCCATGCCTATTCATTTACACATTATCTGGAGAGCCTTAAACAGTTACTATCTGGCCACTTATGGAGGGACTTTGCCAACCCCTGGTTTAGAAGGAGCCTTAAACTTGATCTGCTCTAGCCCAGCCTTCCAAGCCTTTGGGTCTTGGCCCAAAGGCAGCGTCCATCTAGAGGGCCAGATGTGGCCAGGAAGACAGGAGAGCAGTGATCTTTGTTCAATGAATGGAGCACAGGCTGGGAAATAAACAAAAGTGGAAATGGCAGTGGCGCCAGCCCCCCCGGAACACTGTCTCCACTGAGTTTTAGGTAAGTGTGTGACAGATGAGTGAGCAGAAGCTTGAAGAAGCTCAGGCTGGATCTTCGTGGCCAGAGCTGCTGTCTCTGTGTGTAAGCTCAGAAGCCCCAGGAAGCAGGGCTGGGGAAGCGCCCATCAGGCTGCAGTCCCAGGGGAAGCAGCTTGTCCAGCTCCTGGGGACCCACAGGAAGGGTGGATCTGTGCAGCCACATTTTAAAATAGAGGAAGGCAGGCAGATGGATGGCTTTAGTGTTCTTGCACTTCGAGGAGGTGGCTAGGTGTGAACAACAGGAAGTTGGGAAGGCAGTGTCATCTTTAACCATAGCCTGGACACAGGGCGGGTGACAGATGAGTCATGAGTAGCCCTAGGGTCACCACAGTGACTGACCACCTGGGAGGTGACTCAGATGGCAGAAGTGGCCAGGTGGGTGGCCCACATTCCCTGGCTAGGCCCTGGGGTGCCCTTGTGAGGGAGTCACCCCACAGTCCTGGAGGCTCCTTTACCTGCCCTCTCTGCCCAGGGAAAACACCCCACACTCTGTCCCCAGCCTCCCTCCTCCCAGGCCCTCCCTCCCACCAACTCCCACGTCTCACAGCATTGTGGTCTAAGGCCTGGGCTGGGGTACAGGGGAAGGTGGGTGGAGGCGGAGGGGTGGTGGTTAGGGTTCGGCATAGGGTTAGGGTTAGGGATAGGGTTATGGATAGGTTTAGGGTTACAGTGAGGGATAGAGTTAGGGTTAGGGTTAGGGATAGGTTTAGGGTTAGGGTTAGGGAGCTCAGCCCAGCATCAGTGTTGAGGACTTGCTGGGCCACCTGAGGTTCTGGCATCTCAGAACTGGGAGAGCTTGTGGAGCCAACCTTGGCAGACAGACAGTGGATGTCCCACGTTGGGGTGAAGCCATCCTTTCTGGTGACTCTTTCTGGGACAGGACTGGGAGCTCCCTCCCGCCATCCAGCTAATGCCTGCTGCAGCCCCACAGGGCTGTGTCTTAAGTAGAGACGAGGCAGGACGGCCTGGTCTAACTCGGGCTGGTGGAGCCTGTGCCAGCCTGTCCTTTATAAATAAAGTTTTCTGGAACTCAGCCACGTGCGTTTATTTATGTCCCGTCTGTGGCTGCTTTTGTGCGACAACAGCAGAGACTGTCTGGCTCTCAAAGCCAGACATTTACTATCTCGCCCATTGCAGAAAAAGCCTGCTGATCTCCCGTCTCGCTGAGACAGGCGTTCTGTGTGTTCAGGCCTGGGTTTATTAGCCTGAGAGCTCCCTCTCTCCCCTCCCTTCCCTCCCTGTCTCCCACATCACCCTTTCTCCCGCTCTGAGGTGTCCCCCTTGCCCTACCGCACTCAACCTCCCTGTTACGGTCCCTCCTAGCATTTTCTTTCTTTTTTTTCACCTGATCAGTGCTTGGATTTGACCTCCTAGCATTTTCAATTACCCTGCTAGGGGACCCCTCCCCGCCACCTTTCCCTCCTACCCACCCCTTCCTCCCCCAGCCTCCTCCTCACTCTTCCCACCTGTTCCCACGGGTGGAGAGAGGGCAGATCTTCCATGACAGATGAGATTCTGGGAGAAAGGTTTGTCCAGCCGCAACAGTTGAGCAGCAGAGGGGCTGTGGGGGAGCTACGCTGCCGGAAGCGTGCCGTGAACGCTTAGAATGTAACTCCTACCCTGTCCTCTCAGGGTGCTGAACTCTGTGCCCACAGGACCCTGCAGAATTGAGAATACGGAGAGGTCCCTGGGCACCAAGCTGGAGGGGGTGTCCAGACAGAGATGCGGGGGTACTCTGCGCTCCTGCTCTATGCAGCTCTGCCCTCGAGAGCTGCCTCAGGCCGGCCTTCCTACAGCTCAGAAATGCTCCAGTGGAGGTTGGGAAGAGGGGAATTCAAGGAAGGCCACACCCCAGCCACACCAGACCAGCTCTCTCCGCCTCCTGCAGCTTGAGGTGCAGGCCCCAAAGCCATGGAGTGCCCTCTGCAGCCACATAGAGGGAGTCCTAGAGGTTTCAGTGGCTCCCAGGAGAGGAAGTGGGAATGAAAGCTTGAAAATGGGATTTTCCTGGGAGATCGTGGATGTGAGGTCACAGTATTCAGAACCTTCTGAAACCAGGGTGGTCCTCCAGGCTGCAGAGGGGCACCTCAGCTCTGTAATGGCTTTGCACACACTGGACACAAGGAGACCTGCCCTGTCTCTGAAGAGATGACCATGTCTCTGAGATCAGAACCCTCTTGTCTATGGCCGGGTGCAGTGGCTCATGCCTATAATCCCAGCACTTGGGGAGGCCAAGGTGGAAGGATGCTCTGAGGTCAGAAGTTCAAGACCAGCCTGGCCAACATGGTGAAGCCCTGCCTCTACTAAATACAAACAATTAGCTGGGTGTGGTGGTGTGCACCTGTAATCCCAGCTACTTGGGATGCTGAGCCAGGAGAATTGCTTGAACCCAGGAAGCAGAAGTTGCAGTGAGACGAGACAGCACCATTGCACTCCAGCCTGGGCAACAAGAGCAAAACTCCATCTCAAAAAAAAAAGAATGCTCTGACATCAGAAAGAGGAAGTCGAAAAACATGACCTGGCCCCTGAGATAAGGGGGTCGGGGCACCAAATTTTCCCATGTGGAAAGGTTCTGCTGGGACCAAACCACCTGGGCACCTGGCTGCCCTGCAGATGGGGTCTCATGGGGCCTCTTACCAGCTGAGAGGGGGCTATAGGTCAGCCCTGCACAGCCTGGCCCTGGCTGGCCCCACACTGAAGGGGAGGCCAGTACTCTGAGGTCCCTGGGTTTCCCTGTGTCTGGAAGCCTGCAGCCTCCCACACCCCTGGTTCCTTTGGGTTCTCTTTGTCCCCCTTCCTCGGGCACCCTCATAACAAGCAGCCCAGAGTGACTCTCCTGGCAGCCAAGGCTCCAATGACCTCCCACCCAGTCACCCCCACAGGCTCCTTTAGTTCTGTTTCTTCAGCCAGGAGCCTGCCTTGCCCCTGCCCTGGTTGATCCTAGGAGCCTGACCCTAAACCAGGCTGCTCTTCCTGGCCTCTCTGGTCCCTTCCAGAGGCCAAGGGGGTTCCTGATGGCAGAAAGAAACTTCTCTCTTGAACAAGGCTTGACTCTTCCGCCGCCACCTCCTCCTCCTTGGATAGAACTCTTCCTGGCCAGCACTTGGGGAGGCCGAGGCAAGTGGATCACTTGAGGTCAGGAGCTCAAGACCAGCCTGGCCAACATGGTTAAACCCCATCTCTACTGAAAATACAAAAATTAGCCAGGCATGGTGGTGGGTACCTGTAATCTTAGCTACTTGGGAGGCTGAGGCAGGAGAATTACTAGAACCCAGGAGGTGGTGGTTGCAGTGAGCCAAGATCATGCCACTGCAATTCCAGCCTGGGTGACAGAGCAAGACTCTGTCTCAAAAAAAAAAAAAGAATTCTTCTTGGGCTGCCAGTGGAGAGGATGGGGTAGATGCAGTGAGATCTCTCTCCCAACCTGAGTCTCTGTTCTTCCTCCCTGAAGGACCCAGGGGATGGTAGCCAGAGAGGGAACAAGGCATCTGTGTGTTGGACTTCCTCCCCAGACGTGCTGTTGAGCCCCAGAGGGCGAAACCCTGGCTTCTAGTTGAAGGGCGTGGGCAGGAAAAAGAGGTGATCAGTCAGATAAGAACTCCTGGGGGTCAGGGATGAGCCCCCCATGCTGTCTGAATCCGGGCCTGCCCTTGAGAAGAATGTTGCTGGCGGAGGAGGCTCCGGGGCCCTTCCTGCCAGGAGCACACAGACCCCTGAATTGAGCTGTTCGTCTGCACCAGAGGGCTCTTCTCTGGAGTGAATTGGTGGTGCGTCTGCTGGAGGTCGCTGTGCCAGAGATGGGGAAGAGGAGCTGGGATTGGCATCCTCAGCAGCCTCTGCTGCTAACCGGGCTTCCCTTCCCCTCTGAAGAGCAAGGCAATAGCCATCTACCTCCCTCTGTTTTGACCACGAAAATGCCCATTGTGTCGTGGCTGAGACCCGGTTCTGTGGCACTGTGGCCTTCTGCCCTGTGGGACCCTGATGAGGTATTTGGTGGGCATCAGCCATGCGTCTGCACCTAACACAGATGAGGGTGACGCCCAGCCCCCAGGCCCACCGCTCCATGCAGTCTGCCAGGTGGACAGACAGCCCCTTTCCTTTGTGACAGCCTAGACAGGGAACAGAGGATTTCATTCTATGCCAAGGCTCCAGCCTGCCCATGTCAGGCCTGACGGAGCCCAGGCACAGACTGCCAGGATATGCCTGTGTGGTCGCCTCACCCTCCAGGTTAACTCTCCCCTTCACCCTGTAGCCTTGCTCACCGCTGTTTGTCTTTCTATCCATTAGGCAATACCGAACACCGCAGCTTGCAGGGGTCTCCTGGCAGCCCTCCTTAGGAATTCTGTCTGGCCCCAATCAGAATACTGGAGGTGAGACCGCGAGATTGATGAGTTTGCCTTGGGAGTCGGTGAGAAGGTGAAACCAGGGGCGAACATGGGTCAGAAGGTCACTGGAGGGATCAAGACTGTGGACATGAGGGACCCCACGTACCGGCCCCTGAAGCAGGAGCTCCAGGGTCTGGATTACTGCAAGCCCACCCGGCTGGACCTGCTACTGGACATGCCCCCTGTGTCCTACGATGTTCAGCTGCTGCATTCATGGAACAACAATGACCGTTCGCTCAACGTCTTCGTGAAGGAGGACGACAAGCTCATCTTTCACCGGCATCCGGTGGCCCAGAGCACAGACGCTATCAGGGGCAAGGTCGGGTATACCCGCGGGCTGCACGTGTGGCAGATCACGTGGGCCATGAGACAGCGGGGCACGCACGCTGTGGTGGGCGTGGCGACGGCGGATGCACCCCTGCACTCTGTCGGGTACACGACGCTTGTGGGGAATAACCACGAGTCCTGGGGCTGGGACTTGGGGCGCAACCGGCTCTACCACGATGGCAAGAACCAGCCAAGCAAAACATACCCGGCCTTTCTGGAACCAGATGAGACGTTCATTGTCCCTGACTCCTTCCTGGTAGCCCTGGACATGGACGACGGGACACTGAGCTTCATTGTGGATGGACAGTACATGGGAGTGGCTTTTCGGGGACTGAAGGGCAAAAAACTGTATCCCGTAGTGAGTGCCGTCTGGGGCCACTGTGAGATCCGAATGCGCTACTTGAACGGACTTGATCGTAAGTGTACTCTGTGCTCTCAGAGGCAGTGCCCTCCCTCTGTCCCCGTGGTCCTGGCTGGGCTCAGGGCAAAAGTTTATACAGTCATTGAAACTAACGTGTTTTGAAGTTGATATCCCAGTGTATTCAGACCCTCAGGCAACTTTTGCCTGCATCTGGTTAAGTGAGGAATTCTAGCCAGAGTCTGCTAGATTACCTAACGGTGACTCATGAATGAAGGGACAGACGGATAGATGGATGGATGACGGATGATGAATGAATCGATGGATGAACGATTGGTTGGATGGATGGATAGATGAGTGGATAATGAATTGATGGATGTATGTTTGGATTGATAGATGGATGAGTGGTTGAGTAAATGGATGGATGGATGAATGGATGGGTGGGTAGATGAGTGTTTAGATTGACGGATGGATGAGCGGATGAATAAGTGGATGGATACATGAATATTGGATGAGTAGATGGATGGGTGGGTGGGTGGATGAATGTTTAGACTAATGGATGAATGGATAGGTGGGTGGATGAGTGTTGGATGGATGGATGGATAGGTAGGTGGATGAGTGTTTAGATCGATGGATGGATGGATAGGTGGGTGGACGAGTGTTTAGATTGATGGATGGATAGATGGATAGATGGATGGATGAGTGTTTAGATTGACAGATGGATGAGTGGATGAATAAGTAGATGGATAAATGAATATTGGATGAGTGGATAGATGGGTGGGTGGGTGGATGAGTGTTTAGATTGATGGATAGATGGATGGATAGGTGGGTGGATGAGTGAGGAATGGATGGATGGATGGATGGATAGGTGGGTGGATGAGTGAGGAATGGATGGATGGATGGATGGATGGATAGGTGGGTGGATGAGTGTTTGATGGATAGATAGATACATGGATGGATAGGTGAGTAGATAAGTATTTAGATTGATGGATGGATGGATGGATGGATAGGTGGGTGGATGAGTGTTTGATTGATGGATGAGTAGATGGATAAATGAGTGCTAGATGAGTGGATGGATGGCTAGATGGATAGATGAGGGAATGAATGGATGAGTAGATGGATAAGCAAATAGACTAATGAATTGATGGATAAGTGGATAGATGGGTACATTAATGAGTAGGTAGTCTTTGTTTCTCTGGGTGACCTGCCTCCAGGTTTGATCCTCAGTTGACCAAATTCTCGCCCACTTGCCAGCATGTGATCGAGCTGGGGTTTGCAACCTTGGGGATACTAGGGCCTCTTGGGTAAATGAATGCTAGTGGCCTCTCTCACTCATTACCAGGCTGAGTCTTTCTCTTCTGCTGGAGGCTTCTGAGTGGGCTCCTTTGAGATACAGTCCCGAGGGACTTGTTTGGTCATGAAGTTGTCAGGGAGCACATGAATCAGAAACAGGCTGAATCAAAAGTGATGACTGTGTGAATGAGCCCATGCGTAGGGGCACCATGCTGGTGTGGGAGGTGGAGGCTCCATGGCAGCCCTGCTGGGAGCCCACCATAGCAGGAGGGCCTGGCATTGCAGAACAGCTCACTGCGTGTGTGGCCCTCTCTCAAGCCCCTTGCCTACATGAGTCCCTTTTACCACCTGCAGGTCCCACCTCGGGAAGTGAGTGGGCTGGAAAGCTCCATCCACCCATGAGCTAACTGTCTTAAACAGGCAGGTTTGGCTCAGCACCCTGAGTTCTAACTCCACTCTGCAGGCCAGGCAAGAGGCGGCGGGGGCCGGGGAGGCCCCCACCAGAGGTCAGGAATACAGATGCTATCTCTCTCTTGAAGTCTCCAAACCTGCAGCTTCTCCCGATCCTCCTGTTCCTCCTCCCCCATCTCAGCCTTTGAAAGATACTGGAGAAAGTATCAGGTGGTCAGGCATGAGCAAACGCTTACATGTTTCTCTTTGGAAGCCTCCACTGCCCCTCTTCCTCCTGGTCCTCTGCTCTGACTGTGACCCTGATGGCAGTGAGTTGACAGCCACACGTGGCATCTGTGGTGCAGGCTCCCGGGCCTGCTTGGTCCTCACCTGTACAGCCCGGCGCCCCCAGGTCATGGGACTCCTGGGCAGAGTGAGTTCTGTGTCCGTCTTCCCCGGGTGATAGAAATAAGCCAAATTTGCCTCAAGCGGGGATGGGTGCAGATTGGGAGCCCTGGGCACATCCTGCCAGGACCTAGGATCTTGGGGAGCCCTGGCCCCCTCCTCCCAGCCAAGGGGTGACCATGGAGCCAGGGAGGTTAATGTCCATTCTTTGTAGACAGACAGGTGAGGGCACCGCCAGGCCTGCTATTGTTGCCTAGCCACTGGGACCGTGGGGCTCCGTGAGATTTCCAGCCCTGTCCCCTCCAGGAACAAGCCCCCTGATACTCTCATGAGCTGTGGGTTTGCACAGCTTCACGGTCATGTATCCTAGCTTCAGTACAGAGCCCTGGAGTGGCTGGGAGGGCACTGGGGCTTATTTGAACAGAGGGTTCTGCCCACCCAGTCCTGAAGTGCAGACGCGTGTCCTGTGAATAGATGGTGCCTTGCTTGGTTAGCTCTGCATGAGACAGGAGGTTGGATGCTTTCATAATTTTCCTTGTTTGGAAAATCCTAAAGGCGCTGGGTGAGTGGGGGATATGAGAATGGGAATCAGTATTTGGGAACCATTATCTGTGAGCTGGAAGCTAGATGGCCACTCAGAGCATCACATCAGGGCACTATTAGTCAATGACAAGGACCCTTTACCTCTCCACCAGAATCAGATACTCAGCAGTGCCAGGGCCCCTTGGCTTCTCATCTTCCTCAATCCTGGTCAGACATGAATGGGCCCTGGGGTACAAGGACGGTTGACTTTAGGGGATTCAGATTGGAAAATAGATGTGGTTCGCAGAGCAAAAAATCCAAGGGTGAGGCAGTGTCACAGCTCTGCTGCAGGGTGGGGGCAGGGTAGGGGGCATGGGTGTTAGTCACCAGCCTCAACCTGATTAACCTAACACCTCCAGGCCCTTATTGAGGCAGCATCTTGTGACACAGAAGTGTCATCTTGTGTCATAGAAGTGTCGTTCTACAGCCAGGCATGGTGACTTACTCCTGTAATCCTAGCCCTTTGGGAAGCCGAGGCAGGTGGATCACAAAGGTCAGGAGTTAGAGACCAACCTGGACAACATGGTGATACCCTGTCTCTACTAAAAATGAAAAAATTAGCCAGGGGTGGTGGAGCACGCCTGTAATCCCAGCTACTTGGGAGGTTAAGGCAGGAGAATTGCTTGAACCCAGGCGGTGGAGGTTGCAGTAAGCCGAGATTGTACTGCTGCACGCCAGCTTGTCTTGAAAAAGAAGAAGTATCATTCTGGCTACTCTATAGAAATAGACAGCAGGGGCAAGAGTGGCCTCTGAGAGGCCAGGCCAGGGAGGAGCCAGGCCTGTCCTGTGAGAAGTGATGGGTGCTTGGGCCAGGATGGAAGCTGCAGATGTGGAGAGGGCTGGCCCAGTCCTGGGACTCTGGAACAGGCTCCTCCATTGATTGGATGTGACGAGAAAGGGAAATGTCAAGGTGACTCCAGGTGTTTGGGTTGAGCAGGTGGAAGGCGGGGGCTTCCCGAGATGGGAGGAGCAGATGTTAAATTTGAGCATCTTCTTCGACACATCCCAGCAGCCCTGCAAGCCTAAGAGTCTGGGAAAGCCGTAAGTCGGGGAGTTGTCCACGCATGGACAGCTTTAGAGCTGCTACCCTGGCGAGGTCACTGCGAGTGGGGGCTAGAGAGCAAGGAGAAGAGGGCTGAGCCTGAGCCCTGCTTAGAGGCCAGGAGGGTGGGGGCTGAGGGGACCCAGTAGATTGGTGTCCTGGATACCAGGTGAGGAAGGGGCTTTCAGAAGGGCAAAGTAGCGGCAGGTCAAGAACATGGATGGCTAAGAGAAGAGCTGTCCATCAGCTTTGGCAACAAGGAATTCACAGTTGACCCTGATGAGAGTCTGAGTCCAGGGGCCGGGGGGAGCCTGATGGAGTGGCTGGAGGAAGATGCACGGGGTGTTCGTGTCCAGGGCTGCTGAACATGCGACCAGGAGCAGGACCCGTTAAAACAGCAGCAGTGCTGAGGCCAGGTGTCTGCAATCAGAATGATAGCAGGCTCGGCTGCCTCCGAGCTCTGAGACGGAGCCCACCCCAGGCCTCCCCTCACTCCTGGGGACTGCCAGGAATCCTTGGCGTCCCTGCGTCTGTAGATGCCTTCCCGAGTCCCTGCCTCTGTTTGAACAAGGATGGTCCACCTGTGTGTGTCTCTCTGTGCCCCCTCCTCTCCTTACAAGAACACCAGCCATTGGATTCAGGCCCCGCCATCCCCATCCAGTATGTCCTCATCATACAACAGTACGTCTGCGAAGGCCCTGTTTCCAGATGAGGCTTCACACTCTGAGGTTCCAGGTGAATGTGAATTGGGGGGCACTGCTCAACCCACTCCAGATGTGGAGGCAGCCAGTGTAGACCATCTCCACGAGGCCTTCCTCTCCCTGAGCCACCACCTGGGAGGGGGTGACAGATAAGCCCAGTGCTCTGTCCCCTCGCGCCACCCCCACCGATGCTGGGGTGCCCATGGTGAGGTCAGAGGCCACCCAGGTCCCCTGTCCCAGGAGAGTTGGCTTTGCCTTCCAAGGCACCTAAAGAAGGGGGGCATCCTGGTGAGACCAAATCCCAGGATCCTCCTGGGAGCAGAGCATGTCAGGTGTAGGTTCTGGCCAGGCCTGGCTGGATTTGTCATCTTTTTTTTTTTTTTTTTTTTTTTTTTAGAGATTGGGGTCTTACTATGTTGCCTAGGCTGGTCTCAAACTCCTGGGCTCAAGTAATCCACCTGTCTGTCTCCCAAAGTGCTAGGATTGCAGGCGTGAGCCATGGTACCCGGCTGGATGTTTTCTTGGTATCAGGCTGATCTGGGGCTTTGCTGTCTCTATCTTAGAGGTGGTGGTAGTTCCGCTCCCCAGAAGTCTGGAGAGGCATCAGTGCCCACCCCCAACACACGGGTCCGACTTCAGTGAGGG